TTATTTTAAAATGGACTTGATAATCATTAAATAAAACATTTGAATTATCGATTGTGAAAAGGTTACTAGACAAACAGAATATAACTAATTGTTAATTAATTATTTATTTAATTTATGATAAAAAAAATTAAAAAATGACGAAAGTCAAATTTTAAAAAGCCGAAAAAGAAGCAAGAGTTTTTTCCTGGCAAACACATCGAGCGAAACATTAAAACACTGTTTCTCCGCTTTGAGAAAAATAATTAATTTCGTCTATCTATTTACATGCCACTGTTTCCCCCAAAAAGAAAGCGAAAAAATTGTTTCGCTAGATGAGTTTGCCGAGTTTTTTTTATTCCGCATTGTTACGTCATTTCGGTTAATTGCGGATATATCTATACAGTAGCCGAAATTTCCGCGTTTATCGTTGCCACGTCGAACACTCGTTTTGTCTTACATTTTCGATTTTTATTTGAATTTTGTTAACAAAATTCAAGAATAATATTAATGTTTTTTTTTTTTATTTTTGATTTTTCTTGTCAATAAAACACTGAAATACTCGCTTTCCAGGCGATAGTGCCGTTATTTAATTCGCCTTCCGGTTGCCGCTTCTTCACTATGTAGGTTTTTATTCGTGTTGTAATTTTCGAATTTTTGAATTAAATCTTTAAAAAATAATTCAATTAAAAATAATTTTGACAATGCGCTTTCTTTGTCTTCACAACGAATGCGTTTCGGACCACTGTGAGCGTGTCTCGAGAACATTCGTTGAGTCGGATTTGAGAGAGCCCGCACGGGTGCCGCGCTTCTCGTGCCACGAGACGCGGACCAACATCCCGCATCGGTGACCCTTAGGGTCCGACCCAGGAGGGAATGCCTGGGGAGTCTAGGCGCACACGGTGGAGTGGCGTCGAGGCAATTTGTTGTGAAGACTGCCAAATTGGCAAATATTTTTTTTGATAATAATCATATTTTTCGAAAGAAAGCGTAATAAAAATCAAATTAAATTTCTAAAAATTTAAGATTCTTCAAATATTAGCAAGTTATTATTTTTTTATGTATAGTATTATTTCAATTAACTTGAATTTTTCATGGACATTCATACAAAAATCGACTGAGACAAGGAATTGCAGCTGACATCGATACAAGCTCTTGAATAGTGACAATTTGCTATGTTTTGACTTCTTTTTCAATGTTTATTTTCAGGTCTGAAAAGGTTGAAGCTGGATCTTGTTAGACCTAAAGAGAAGTTGAACCCCAGAAGAAGTTGAAGTTGAGGTTGAAAAAATCTCATTCCGTCCCTTCGCCGACAAGTTTGATTGGGATTTTTAAATAACTAAAGTAACATTTTCAGAATTTCTGACTTCGTACCAGTTTCCCGACTCAATTTTGCACCAATCGGTCCCTGATGCTCGTGCCTTTTGGATTTATTCGAAAACATCCTAAATTTTATAAATTTCTGATATTTCTCGAAAGGTTTGAATATTTGTTATTAATTTTTCATAGCTAAATTTAATTCAGGAGCTCTATGAAACTCGATCGTCACAAACAGGTGTCTCTAAGATCAATTTGTTTTGGGATAGATAGCTCAAAAGCCGTTGAAATTCACATATTTAAAATTTTGAAATTTCTCTTTTTTTTAAAGTTTGCATTTTTATCTAAAAAAAGATGGGAAGCCCCTCGAAAAATTCCATATTTTTTATTTTCCACAATCAAAAAAACTTTCAGACATTACCAACTCTAATTGATAATCAGAGAACGCCACTGCGATAAACGATTCATTATAAACTATTAATGATTGTGAATATCCCCGTAAAAGCGGGATTCTCAATAATCATAGGTTTGGATCGTCTTCCGAATAAGGTTTGTGTTGCTAATTTAATTTCTAGTTAGTATGAGAACCACATTCAGGTAAGGAATTTAAATTGTTTTTATATTGTTAAGATTTGCTTCATACATTTTTGCTAAACGTTTATGTGCCTCTGCGAGAGACTAGGGAATCTGGCGATGCATTTGGGTACCACGTTTAGAAAAAAAAATATTCGAAATGTGAAAGTTTGAAAAATGAGCACTCAAGCGTTTTGAATTTTTGCACTGTTCAAATTTATTACAACAGTCTCAGGCGTCGAATAAAAGCAAAAAAGGTGCCGAAAGTTTGAAAAATCTTCAGTTTTTTTTTGAGAAACCGTTATTGCCACGTTCTCAGTTACCACGTGGTGGTCATCATTTTCTATTTTTATTTGAATTATGTTGAAAAAATTTGAATAATATTTAGTATTGTTCTATTTCGTTTAATAAAACACCGAAATGCTTGCTTTTTCAGGCGAAAATCTAATCTACCACCATTTTTCCTCGCCCTCAGGTCTTAACTATGTAAGTTTTTATTCGTGTTGTGAATTAGTCGTCTAATAAAAGCAAAAAAGAATTATTAAATTTGGTCCAGGGGCCGAAAATTTTTGAAAAATCTTCAATTATTTTTTGGGAAACCGAAATTATCACGTCTTTTGCTACCACGTGTTGGTCTTCATTTTCTATTTTTATTTTGATTATGTTGGAAAAATTTGAATAATATTTAGTATTGTTCTACTTCGTTTTTGATTTAAAATTGTCAATAAAACACTGAAATGATTGCTTTTTCAGGCGAAAATCGATAACGCCACAGTTTTCTTCGCCATCCTGTCGCTGCTTCTTAAGTTGTATTCGTGTTGTAAATTAATTTTCAAAATGTTGAATTAAATTGTTTAAAAATAATTCTATTGAAAATAATTGCGACAATGCGCTTTCTTTGTCTTCACAACGAATGCGTCTCGAACCACTGTGAGCGTGTCTCGAGAACATTCGTTGAGTCGGATTTGAGAGAGCCCGCACGGGTGCCGCGCTTCTCGTGCTACGAGACGCGGACCAACACCCCGCATCGGTGACCCTTAGGGTCCGACCCAGGAGGGAAATGCCTGGGGAGTCTAGGCGCACACGGTGGAGTGGCGTCGAGGCAATTTGTTGTGAAGACTGCCGAATTGGCAATTTTAATTAAAAATCGACTATTTTCTGGAAAGCGCAATTAAAATGAAATTTAAAACAAACTCGAAGGGTTTGGTGGAATTCGAAAAATAAAACAGTCGTGGAAGAGTTTCTTCGGCTGTTTCCACTCTAGGCGGTGCCTGGCCGGGCCTCGGCATGGGCTAAGCATGACGGTGTCGAAGCACAGACTTCCTGTGTTCCACTAGTCTCCTCCCCGAGTAAACCCACCAGCATCTTTCGAAATAGCCGAACAATCACTGATTATGACTTTTATTATTTCGTCTTCCAGCCAGATCTTTCTTACACCTCTTTCAGTCCGCTTACTTAAACCTGATAATTATTTGATTAAAAATTTTCATAATTTTTGACATTTTTTCATGGAATCTGGAAGACAACGCAGCGAGACGACGAACTAGGCGACAGATCGAGAAAACAGTAGCAATATTCAATGTTTTAAGGTGTAGTGAATTGATTATCCATCAAATGCTAATTTAAATTTGACATTTCAGATCTGAAGTCATTGATTGAGATTCTCATTGTCTTCGTCAATCACAATCTACTTTTGTTGCTACAGGTTCATTTTTTTATTAAAAAATTGTGCAAATTTTACATATTTGAGATGTTCTCTGAATTATTAGGCGACAATACTCATTCAACTCATATTCCGATGATTGTGTCAATTTTATTCGATTTACTTGAGAGGTTTAAGATTGCTGTTTTTCGATTTTAAAAAATTGTCGATAACGATCGTAAAAATCTCGAAATCATCAAAATTCGACCAAAAGAAAAAGTGTTTAAGCCGACTTAAAAAAAATAATAATGTTTCTCATATATGAAAATGGGTTATTGTGCGGCTTCCAATTTTAATCAGTGCGCGACAAAACGGTGCTAGTTATCTTTCTACTTTTCACCGAGTATTCACTCAGGTAAATGAAAATCAATCGGATTCGAAAAAAAAATGAAATATAAATTAACCTGTTTCGATTGAAAAATCATTCAAATTCGATTTGAAATCTTGGTTTCGATTCAAAAATCGTCGAGATCGATTGATTTATTTCTCATTTTTAATTTTGAAATCGTATTCGATTGAAATTTTGGAATAATTCGAATCAGATTAATTTATATTCGATTTCGATTGAAAACGAAATTATTTTCGAATCCGATTAATTTTCATTTACCCGATCAATAAATTTTCCAATAATTAGTTTCCATGTAATCTCGCAAATAACATGCGTCGTATCTCGGCTTTTCGGACTTTGGACTAAAAGTTGTCGAAAAACGTACCCGAAGCATTCTTTCAACTGGGCGGGACGTAATCGGCCGCTCGGCCGAATAAAAAACATAGAGGTACTCTGGTAACACAAAACCAATCGTATCCGACAAAATTTGGCTCCGAAATTAACCTTATCCGATTGGTAATTCTACGGATAAGATTGTAAAATTTTCGTATCCGATTGGTAATTTGTCGTATCCGATTAGATTTTCTTCGAATCCGATTGGTAATTATTCGAATCCGTTTTGTTTTAATATTTCAATTCGAATCGTATTCGACAAAAAACCAATATTTTTCGTAGAATTACCAATCGGATAAGGTTAATTTCGGAGCCAAATTTTGTCGGATCCGATTGGTTTTGAGTTACCAGAGTAGGTCAACCCGCAATTGCCCAAATTTGCTTGAATAGTCCTTCACAGAATATATGAAAGTCAAAATTGTTAACTTCGCGCCACGAAGCAAAACTGTAATTCATTTGAATTTGCAGCAGATTTCTATGAAATCAAGAAATTCTAAATTTGTTTTGAATTTTTCAGAAAAATTATCGTTCATGCTTGGCTGTTTCACCATGTCGTTTTCAGTCAACTTGGAGATTTAAATGATAAATCTTAGATGCATTGCTAATTGTATTTTTCCTTTCTTTCGAAAGAAATGAAAAATAATTGTATTTTAAGGACCTTTAACACAATTATGTATCGCGGGTAATCGATTTTTCGTGGTATTTTTCAGTATGCAAGTTCATATTCATAATGGTCAAGTGTGTACTTTGGTTAGTTTATTTTGCCAATTAAGAAAGTAATTAAGTTTTTGTCAGATTGCCTTATTATCATGCTGGTCAATATCGCTTTTTGTGTCAATAATTGGAATTCCTTGTAATTCCTTCTTCATTTTGGAACATTTTTTTCACATTTAATTAATTTCCAGATAACTGTGTCAATATTTACAACTTCGATATTTTAACATGGGACAGTTTGGATCCATGTTCGGACATATTGGCAGACGCTGTGATGTACTTTATAATGGTTCTTGCAGCCATTACAAACACTATGAATATAATAATTGGCATCAAATTGTTGTTCGCGCAAGAAATTCTCGGAATCGCGAGCACCGAATCGAAGAGGCGAAAAAGGAAGACGCGCGAGATGTTCATTCAGGTATCAGTTCATGTTTGTTCGTTTCCAATTTGTCATTTCAGAATTGTTTTCAAGATTGCGTCTACTTGATCGACACACTGAATAGCATGTTCGTCTACACCTGGTCCGGCAATATTCTATATCAATTTATGTTCACAATATTCTCCAATTTATTTGTGCATGTCGCCGATGGGTAAACAGCACATTTTGATAGAAAAATTGCATTTAAAAATGATATTTCAGGTGTATTATGTTGTATTTCAATCATGACAAAGTGCAAAAGCCGCAAACGATTAAAATCACTTCACATCTCACTCAAGTTGTCAAAGTCTCTTCGGTGTATTGATAAAAATCATTCGATTTCATGGTATTACACATAAAATCTTGTTTTTAACAGAGACATTTTGGTCCCAGTATGCATTGTACCAATTTTTATTCTATAATTTCAACAACATTTTAACAGAATCCACACGTCTTCGGGCACTGATCTTGCATTACGGACCTTAATTCAATTTTCTTTTAGTAATTTTTTGAATTTGAAAACCAACTTGTAGGCTGGCTGTGTGCACAAGTATGCTTTCGCACTACATTCCGACATGCCTGTCGATGGATTCACCTTAATCAAAATGAGGTGGGTAAATTCAAACGTGACCCGCACGGGTGCTACAGGGTGTCATTTATGTTCCCGCACAAAAGTTTGACGCCATGTAGAGCTTCGCTAACGCACTTTTCGTACACCAATATAATTTATTTTTATTGAACAAGGTATATTTTACTTACTTTCCAAGTTTCACCTCATTCGGATGTGCTTCCGAGAAACGGCGAAGGCTAACATCCATCGCGCTTCCATTATCGAACTTCATAAGCAAAATGTGAGCCCGAGAGACATCATTCAACGGGTCGGTGTGCCTTGTAGAACGGTTTATGACACCATCAAACGATTCAAGGAGCTAAATACGACCAGTGACCGTCCCAGACAAGGAAGACTCGTCTCAGTAACCACTCCTCAGAAGATCAACGCCGTCAAATCGAGGATCAGCCGAAACCCCCACAGGAGCATGAGAAAGATAGCGTCAGACATGGGAATGAGCATCTTCGCTTTGGAACAAATCGTCAAAACGAAGCTTGTACTGACCCCATATCGTGTCCAAAAAGCGGCAATTCTATCGGCCGTCAACAAGCAGAGACGCTTCGAAAAAGCAAAACGACTTCTTGCTCGCACGCGGTCTGGACAAGATCTCGTCACTGTCTTCTCCGACGAGAAGCTATTCACTGTGGAGACGGCATTCTACTCACAAAACCATTGAGTACTTGCCCAGACATCCCAGCAAGCTTCAGAGAAAGGAAAAACAATTAATCGAGCCTCACATCCTGCCAGTGTGATGGTTTTCGGTGCCATCTGCTCAACCGGGATGTGCCCCCAGGATTTCGTGGATCAGGGAGTGAAAATGAACAAAGAAGTCTACGTTCGGGACATTTTGGAGAAGCATGTGATGCCCTGGACCCAAACGCATTTCGGTGGGCAGATATGGGTCTTTCAGCGGGACGGAGCACCCGCCCACACTGCCAAAACTACTCAGGAGTGGTGCCAGACCCATTTTCCCGACTTCATCAAGTCATCTGAATGGCCTGCTTGCTCCCCAGACCTGAACCCGCTTGACTTCTCCGTGTGGGGAGTCTTGCAGGAGAAGGTCAACGCAAAACCCCACTCAAGTGTCGAGGCTCTGAAGAAGACATTACTGGCGGAGTGGGACAACCATCGAATACTTGCGTACCACAGTCACATCCTACCCGAAGCGTCTCCGTGAAGTCATAGCTGCGAAAGGAGGCCGAATCGAAAAGAGTTAATAGATAATTATTTGTTGTACTATAGATAAATAATATTTTGAGTCTCGTTTGATTTGGACTTTTAGTTTCAGAAATATACGTCTTCAAAGTTGTGCGGGAACTTAAATGACACCCTGTATTGCCCAGTTAAGAGAATATGCTGATGGGACTCTGCGCGCATCAGACTCTCGTGGTGCCTCAGGACGTCGGGACTGAAGATCACGTGAGTCATACGATCGTATCGCGACTAGAGTAATGCGAAAACTGTGTAGTTCGAGCCCGGGCGCGCGAGTCCTCGATTGAATTTACCGAGCATAATGTATAATTAGTACCTTATCAATACACATTTTCGCTGGTGTCACTGGTGCAACTGTAACAGGCGAGATTGGCGATGGTGTCCCTGAAAAATTAGGGTTGATTCGGATTTGATTGAAATGAATTTTTACCATTTCCATTACAAAATCCGCAAGTTTTTGGGCATTGGTCTTTCATGAGATCGAGATAGATTTGGTTTGTGCACAACGCGGTTCTAGCTGGACAATCACTGACACCAGTTGCTGGATTGATCTGCAATCGGCAATGACTGTCAGCAAAGTTGATATTCGTCGAACCTTATCCGCACACATGATCGGGTTCATCGTTGGGTTCGGAGCAGCAGTAGTCGGTGAATCAGGATAATTACTGCCTAAATTCGAAAAATCAAAAAAAATCGCTTTCTCACCCTACAAAATCCACAAGATTTTGGGCATTGATCTTGCATAAGCGACCGATAAATGGAGTTGCTGCAATACGCCGTCATTCCGGGACAATCACTGGTTCCGGTTTTTGGATTTATCTTATCGACACATTCAACAGCGGGAGTTGCCGGAGTGGTGGTTGTTGTTGTCGTCGTCGGTGGCGGTGTTGTGGTCGTCGTTGTGGTCGTCGTCGTCGTCGTGGTGGTAGTGACAGCTACAACACAGAGTAATAGGGAAAATCAAAGAAGCTTGAGATACTGTAGATGTCGGCATCGTTGCAACAAGCTCCTTCAGTTGGCATGAACGTCATTCCAGTAGGGCACATTCCATTCAGATCAGCTAAAATTGAAACAGTCGCATGCACGATTCCAAAACTGAAATTCGCAACTCACGCATCAAATCGCTGGCGCATTTTTGCTCAGCGGCGACGAAATGAACGAGAGCGACGAGCAGCACCAGCTTCATGATGACGCTAATACAGTATGCCCGAATATGGAATCGGCCAACTTTTAAATAGCCATCATCTCGAATTGCAATTGATTTCATTTGAATATAAACTATTGTTTGAACAGTTGGTGTGACCCTCGCAAACAAATTTATTTTTTTGCTCGTTTTGGTTTCGGTTTAGGTTTCGCGGTTTGTTTCGGTTTCGCTTTTGCCTTCGCCGTCGTTTTCGACGCCTTCTTCTTCGTCTTCTTCTTCTTTGCATTCGCCTTCTTTTTCTTATTATTTTTCTCTTTTGATTTCCCTTTTTTCGCCTTCTTTTTCGCCTTCTTCGTGCCACCTTTCTTCGCTTTTTTGCCCTTATTCTCCTTGCTCTTCGTCGTCGATTCCTTCGACTCATTCGATTTTTCAGGTTCATCGGATTCATTCGCGCCCTCGTCAGATGCGACTTTCGACGTCTTCGTCGTCTCAACAGGCGGCGTCGGATTCTCGCTCGTCTTTTTCGTTTCCGTCGACGAGATTTTCGTTGCCGGCGTTGGATTCTCGCTCGACTTTTTCGTTTCCGTCGACGAGATTCTCGTGGCCGGCGTCGGATTCGAAGACGACGATAATTCAGGTTTCGACACAGAAGGCACTTCAAGTTCGAGTTTCTCCTCAACTTCGACGTCTTCAATTTTCTTGAGTTTCTCAACATTTTGATCACTCGTTGAATCTTCTTCTTCGTGGAACACCTAGAAATGATGGATGAGCCAGACCAGAGAGCACATCGAAACAAACATCAATAATATCTTTTGGCTCCGGATATCCATACTCCATAATCCATGCAAAAGAATCCTCTTCATCTGCGGAATTCGTCATTTTTAATGTGGCGTACGACGTCATGACTAACTGAAAAAAACATTCCTCAACTTAAAAAAAATCATTTCTCTTATAAATAGATTTTTTCGAGTTTTTGCAAAAAGAGGCCTTTTCCATTTTTCTGTATAAATTAAAAAAAATAATTTCGAAAAAATAATTCAAAAAAAAAATATGACGATTCGCACCTTTACCAAAAACAAGCTGATCACTTTAAGAAGCAATGTCAAGACGAGAATAATAGTGACGATATAATCAGATGGAAGCAGAGTGATATTATCGCGAATCTCCCAAAGACATCCTAAAATGTCCGCGGATTCACAAGGAAAACAACACTAATTTCACCTTTATTATGAAACCATTTCTCAATTATTTCTTCTTGATCTACCGGCGCGCGAAATATGCGAAACGCCTTTGAGCACATTGTTGAGTGGCAGCACGTCATCGGCAGATTACAGTAATCCCATTCTGTGCATGCAGGTGGACGAACGGACTCGTCGAAATATTTCTCGAATCCTTCCACTTCGGTGAAATCGAGAAAATCCTTGATTCCGTGAATCCCGCAACAAGAGTATTTCACCTAGACAATATTGAGGTCCGCTTTTTCTCAAATTTCAAAATTTACATGGATTTGATCCATTATCTTTCTCGACTTCTCATTCGACATATAATTAACATAATTGTGCAGCATAATTTCAACTAATTTCGCCTCAATTTTCGCGCTAAAATTCGATGTCAGAATAACAGAAGTGATTGTGAATAAAAATGAGAAGAAAATGAGGAAGAGATATCTCTGAAAATCATCAAAATTCTTCCAAATATGTATATCAAATTAACCGATATTTTCGCATAATCAACCCATAATTGTATGGCGCATAAAAGACGCACAGTATCGAGAACATAAAAGATTAGAATGATTGAAATTATAAGAAATCCTAATATTAGAAACATCGAAATATAGAATAAGAAATCTCGATGAAATAATTCTGCGAGAATTCCAGTTCTACAAAATACTCGGCTTGTTCAACATTTTTCTTCTTGAGATCCACTTACTTATGATAATTATAGTATATAGAGCATAATAAGAAGAATGAACAAAATTGAAGAATAATAATTGACCATAAAACAAGCATTGTTAGATTCCTATATTGATTTCGGCCTTCTTTTGATAATTGAACAAGACCGACAACCATATTCGGAAAATATAGAAATGGAGAAGATGAATCACGTTGACAGAAAGAAGTAACTTTATTAAAAGTCGGGGAAAAATAAACGAAAATTTGGCGAAATCGAATTACGCGTAGAGGAACGAATCATTGGCAACTAATGAAGGTAGATCATGAGATGGGGGGGTTGGCAATCAGAAGAAAGATCTCGATTGGGTGTCTGGTGTTCGAGCAACTTTTGGCCGACTTCCGAATACGGCGTTGTAGTCGTCGAACGTCTCATTCTCGATCGGATATTCCGGATCATTCGACGGCTCTTTGTTGTTATTGTTCTTCTCTTCCGAATGGTTTCCTAAAACATGGATCATGTCTTCATAATAAAATCAAAATTATTTCTGTCTTTTTATTATTATTGTCGAGTATTGAACAAAAAATGATGGTTGGCTATGTTCCAATGCGTCTCGGTTTAGTGATTGCGTACATTGCATTACAGTGTACGCGCAATTAATATTAAGCCAACGTTTAATTTAAATCTGCACGAGATCCCGTCTCTGCTCAGTCTTTGGACGCCACATGCGAAAATATATTGATTTTGCGAAAAGATTTAAAAATAATCGACAACGATAATTGAAATTTGACAATTCAATATGTAATTTTTCTAATGATGAAATAGCTAGTAGCTGATACCTTTTTTGGTTATCGAATTTTTCGAGAATGACTTTTTGATTTGATTATGCGTTGAGATAATCTTTTCCGGCTCAAGATTCGCCGCCATCGACAATTCCTTTTTAAGAAGCGACGGCGCTTTCCGCGACGTCAACTGGATGTGTCGCAACGCCTTCTGCTTCTCCTTCTCCTTCTCCTCTTTCTCTTTGCGCTTTTTGCGCTCCTCGTCTTCGAGTTTTCGCGCTCTCTCATCAGTCATTTTTTTGTACTCCAAAGCGCCTAAAACACACCAATTTTTTTAAAACAAATCCACAGAATGCATGTCGTACCTTCCGTGAGTCCGATGTTGACAACCAGCGGCCGACGCCGTTCGGTTTCGATGACAAATGTGTGTTGCGATGTGGCGGTGCCGATTCGCTTTTGATGCTGCTGCTGCGGCGGCGGCTCCGATTTGCGATTCGACGCCTTCGAATTGGCGCGCGATGATAATTGGGGATGAGATGACGATTTGTAGGGCACCTGGCCAGGTACGGGCGTCTGTTGGAATTCATTGGAATGATCGCAATACGCCTTGCGGATCAGCAGACGAGCACCGCTCAACTCGTTCGAAGACGGTCGAAGCGGATCGAGAGCATCAATCTCGCGTTCGCACGAGATTCCCGCCTGAAATATAAAACATCTGTTGTGACATCAATTCGTTCAAAAAAATGTTTTATGCATTTTCGTGGTATTTCTGAAGGGAAACTCATTTTTCAAAAGTTTAAAGAAATTTTCGATTCGCGAGAATTTACTTCGGCGGTCTAAAACAAACAGAAAAATTATGCCAAAAAGAAAACACGTTGATTGACTCTTTTTTGTTGTAAAAAAGCACGAAGAACATTTTTCATTGCAAGAATAACTGCTAAAAGATCGAAATTGAAAATTTGCATGCTGACGAAATATTGAATGCGACGTACGCAAACACGTAGTTCCCTTTGCCTCGAGGTGCCACGGCACATAGACAATTTTTTTCTAAAAACGATATGTGACTTGAAACCGACAATATGGAACTGATAAAGCGTCAAAAATTCAGTTTTTACTGCAAAAAAGTAATCGAAAAAAATAAATGAAATGGATGTTTTTCGGTTTTTCCGTGCTATTTGCGTCGCAGTGTTTGCACACATTTTTGCGAGCTACCATTTGTTTCGATTTTTTCCGATATTCTAAATCTCGAGTGCTAATAAATCAAGATAAGCTGCCAAAAAAAAAAAATATTTGGTGCCCGCAAGCACCGATATTTTGGCGGCAATTCAAACACTTCTCAAATTTCTTGGAATTTTTCGCGTTTATCTTTATGTACAGCAATTGGTCATAATCGCGTTGAAATTACGTGCAAGTCGTAATTTTTATTTGAAATTCAATAAAAGAAACGAAATACATATTTTCATTTAAATTTGTAACAAAAGAAAATTGAGAGAAAATATCACAAAAGGTTTTTGTTCGAAACCCGAAATTGAATACAATAGAATTCATCCAAAAATTCAAAAGATTTTTATTTTAAAGAAATTTTGTTTGAATTCCTATTAATTAATATGAAGTTGTTATGAAATATGCCACGCAATTTCAGGTTGAACCTGACCTATACTTGACAACGGACCCCCCCTTAACAGTAGATCAATTTTGAATTTGAGCAGCGGGAAATCGTCTGCCGTATTACGGATAACCTGCGAATCAAACTCACGGGCATTTATAATTTACAGTAGTATCGATGGGGGGCACATTTTTACTGCTGTACGCGTGTAGATTTACGGCGTGCGTCTTTCGAAATGGTCTCGCCACGTGTGATTGGCTTATTTTGAAATTTTCACGTGAACTGTTTAATTTGTCTAGATGAGTATAATATTTCCATGAATACTTTAATATCATTGAAATTAAAAATAAGCGGAATTATCTCAAAAATGCAAAATGATCAGTTAGTCCGTGCGAGACCATAGCGAAGGCGCATGCACGTAAATCTACCCAGACTCCGACTACAGGGTGTCATTTAAGTTCCCGCACAACTTTGAAGACGTATATTTCTGAAACTAAAAGTCCAAATCAAACGAGACTCAAAATATTTTTTATCTATAATATAACAAATATTTATCTATTAACTCTTTTTGATTCGGCCTCCTTTCGCAGCTATGACTTCACGGAAACGCTTCGGGTAGGATGCGACTGTGGTACGCAGGTATTCGATGAAAAGATTGTCCCATTCCGCCAGTAATGTCTTCTTCAGAGCCTCTACACTTGAGTGGGGTTTTGCGTTGACCTTCTCCTGCAAGACCCCATCACGGGAAAGTCAAGCGGGTTCAGGTCTGGGGAGCAATCAGGCCATTCGGATGACTTGATGAAGTCGGGAAAATGGGTCTGGCACCACTCCTGAGTAGTTTTGGCAGTGTGGGCGGCTGCTCCGTCATGTTGAAAGACCCATTTCTGCCCACCGAAATGCGTTTGGGTCCAGGGCATCACATGCTTCTCCAAAATGTCCCGAACGTAGACTTCTTTGTTCACTTTCACCCCCTGATCCGCGAAAACCAGGGGGCACTTCCCGGTTGAGCAGATGGCAACGAAAACCATCATGCTGGCAGGATGTGAGGCTGGATGATATGTTCTTCTTTTCTCAGAAGCTTGCTGGGATGTCTGGGCAAGTACTCAATGGTTTTGTGAGTTGAATGCCGTCTCCACAGTGAACAGCTTCTCGTCGGAGAAGACAGTGACGAGGTGTTGTCCAGACCGCGTGCGAGCAAGAAGTCGTTTTGCTTTTTCGAAGCGTCTCTGCTTGCTGACGGCCGATAGAATTGCCGCTTTTTGGACACGATATGGGGTCAGTACAAGCTTTGATTTGACGATTTGTTCCATAGCGAAGATGCTCATTCCCATGTCTGACGCCATCTTTCTTATGCTCCTGTGCGGTTTTCGCCTGATCCTCGTTTTGACGGCGTTGATCTTCTGAGGAGTGGTTACTGAGACGAGTCTTCCTTGTCTGGGAAGGTCACTGGTCGTATTTAGCTCCTTGAAACGTTTGATGGTGTCGCAAACCGTTCTACGAGGCACACCGACCCGTTGAATGATGTCTCTCGAGCTCACATTTTGCTTATGAAGTTCGATAATGGAAGCGCAATGGATGTTAGCCTTCGCCATTTCTCGGAAACACATCCGAATGAGGTGAAACTTGGAAAGTAAGTAAAATATACCTTATTTAACAAAAATAAATTGTATTGGTGCACGAAAAGTGCGACAGCCAAGCTCTTCATGGCGTCAAACTTTTGTGCGGGAACTTAAATGACACCCTGTATTTGTTTTTTTTTTTTCAGTTTTCATTTAATTCGACTCATGATTAACCAAAACTAACACTAACAGTTGATCAGTTTTGGCCAAAAATATTTTTTGTGAAAACAAACACTCACCTTGTCAGCATCGGATTCCGTCGGCGACTGCGGAACTCGATTGAATTCAACATCTGTAAACTTCGGTATATTTCTCTATCCCTCTCTCACCTACTCCAGCTATTTTATGAGCTTTTATTTTTTGTTATGTATTATTTGTTTGTTTGTATTTCGTTGTTGTTGTTGTTGAAATCATTTAGAGTTATTAGCCTGTGGCCCAGAGAGCCCAAGGGTGATCCGCTTCAGATCACACTTGAGGTCTCAGGGAACAGGCCTCGACTCGTTGGTTAGCGAATACTGGAATAACTTGGGACCGAATACGAGGGAAAGGAAGCCGGCGACTCGTCAAAACCAACGGACTGACTGACCGACCGAACCGAAACCGAACGAACTGAAGTAGACGGGGCGACACTGGGGATTGGGCGACGCGACAACGCACGCACTCGCACACACACAAACTCACACACACACAACACACACACACACATATACACATATACACACCAAACACACAGAAGTAGGAGGAGAACGAAGGAACGAGGCGGGGCATCGGGGCGGTAGCGGCGTCTGCGGCGGTGTCGTCGCCGCGTCGGTCATCGTGAGCCGACGGCGGCGGCCAGCACGCGCCGTCGCCGCGCGCCCACCCAGCGCCAACCTGGCACCGCGCCTATTCGCCAAAATAGTGTGCAACGCGTGGAGGCGACGACAAGCGACGCGCGGCGGTGCCACTCGACGCCACGCCCACCGAAATGGATGGACGATGACTCGTCTCTCCTCCTCGTCCTCCTCCCTTTTTTCTCGCACTGGCAACGGCGACGGTGGCTTTTCTCGACTATCAGGATAAAATATCAAGCTCGACTACCCTAATTAGTCGTCGTAGACAAGAAGCACTCAGTTGATAAGAAGCACGAAGGAAATGGCGTAACGGGATTAAAGAATCAGTCGGATCATTAGGCTTCTGATGCATGAATGATTTCAAAAAAAAAGAAACACGAAAAAGTTTGTGTTAGACAAGATAATATTCTGAGAATTGTATGACATTCATTTTGAAATCTAGACAAGATCAAGAAATTTCGAAGAAAGGAGGATTCGCCGAAAACAGATGACACTAATTCAAAGAGCTTCGATCAGATCACAGAGTATCCAAAAATAAGGTAGAGGGAGCAGAAAATTGAGTTAGCAGGGATCAGTATCGCATTCCACAATTGCTATGGAACTGAGTGTTGGTTGGAATATGCTACGAGACCAATTCGAAAGGCATGAGAATTCAAAATTCGAAATTCAAATTCCCTCCACCCAGCGCATCATTATCAGTTTGGTAGAACAATAGTTCTTATCTTGCGATTGGAGCGATACGTTGGTTACGCAAAATCGTTTTCAAAAATTTGAATTTTTTGTTTGAATTTTTCGAAACGAGATGAATGCAAATTTTTGGGACAGATGTTCGGGGGCTCGGCTCGACGCGGTGATTCGTCGTCGTCGTCGTCGTCTTGAAATAATATGAAAAAGAATCGTCGGCGACACCCATTTGGAAGCAATCGATAAATATACCACGGGGGTGCGTGTGTGAGTGGGGGGGGGAGGAAGGGGAACGGACGTATGGCGCCCCGGCGCCACGAAAAAAAGTGGACGGGGGGGGGGAGGCGAGTGGCGAGGAACTCGAATGAGAAACAGAAGAACGCCCGGCCGCGGACGCGACGGGAGGCGTTCGGCGACGATTTAGACGCAGACACACACTCGCGAAAATAGTGCTGGGAACCGGCGCGACTCGTCGCCATCCGAGTGTGTTCGCTTCTCACTCCACACATTTTTTCCCCCCTGTTGTTGAGAAAACGACTGTAATCGAAACAATAAAAAACACATACAGGCTTTCATCTATTTATAGTCGCCATTCATAATAGTTTTTTTTTGAGCCAAAATTATTGGATTGGTTCAACCAATTAATTAACAAAACTGCATATACAGGTAAAATGCGGTGGACACATAATGTGCCCTCAGGAATCGTATATGGTCCCATCCAATAGGCAACATCATTAATGAAATTTGCTATTATATAATATTAACGCGAAACCTTATAGAGCCCATATACAAAAATTAATGAGGAACACTCACCGTGGGACCACTCGGAACCACGATCGTGCCCATATGGGACCAATATGCCCTTATATGCCCAATGTCCCACGATGGACACATGATGTGTCCGCCGCATTGTTATAAAATATCGACTAGTGGAATATTGTAGATTCTAATACATATTCATAGTTTTAAATTTGAAAACAAATCATTGCAAAAATATCGAATTAAAAACGCGAAGGCACGATATCTCAAGTTTTCTATTATTTCCTACTTCCTTTTTTTTTAATCAATTTCTTCAAATTCTCATATTAATGCAAATATAATATCATATTTAATTTCAACATTCCCCCTCAATTATCTTTATTAATAATTCTTAATGTAAAGCTGATAAGCACCATTCGAAAATGTTTTAAATTCAACACTCACGCAACGAGCCCCTAGGGGTTTATGCTAGGAAGGGACCATATCAAATTTCGTAGATTTAGTTCATTATTTGGGCAATCAGGTGTTTTTGTGTTCAGTCGATCGTAAAAATACAAACAATTCGAAAAAAAATTGACGAATGAGGAACTTTGAATGATTTCGAAATATTTGGAAATTCTCGAAATTTTGATCTCCGGCTTAGTAGGGCAATTGATTCCTGATCGGGTCAGCAATCAGTGGACCCTCGAATTCAAACGAAGCATCGCATTCACAATGAGATATGCTTTTTTTGGGCAATTTTTCACATTCACATTCAATTTTAAAAATGAATTGTAAATGATTGAAAAAAAAAATGAGGCCTGACCTCCTCTCGTTGACATGCTTTCAACCAAAAATCGAAAAGGTCTCAAGTGGGTTTCTTTTTTTGGTTCAAATGATCGTTTCATTTTGAATATATCGAATTAAAGAAGATTTCCGATTTTAATTATTAAATTATCCAATTTATTCAATTTTTTCACTATTATCAGGGTTGCCATAATTGGGGCCTGGCCGCGGCCGCTCTGTTTCTGATTTTTAACAAAAGACATTTCATTTTAAACATCTGCGGACATTATCCGGGATGCGCCGCAATCGCCTGGTTGTTGTTATTCGCGGTGGCGGCAATTCAAAAATTCGAACAGGAGCCCTAAAGAGGCCCTGTTTTTTGACATTCATAACAAATTTTCTGTTTGAAATATGAGAATCCGAAATGAACAATTTAAAAGAACATGAAAAAATTGCGAAATTTCGAAAGAAATTGGCATTGTGCAATTTGAACGTGACCGAAACGCGATCGGTTCTCGCGAATTCGATATCAGCAAAAACAGACAGTCTTGATGAATGGAAAAGATAAAAAAAAAGAGGGCACAGTTCGATTGCTAATCACTCGCCGATTCGTCGGCTTCTCATATTTCTCCGAATTTTGATTTTCAAATTGTTGTTTCCTTTTATGGTCTCAACTTTGATTATACGCATATATTCAAAAATTCATACGCATTCCGTTGGTTCTGCGAACAAAAGTTTTCACCTGCAGCAGATGGTTCGGGTGAAACGAAATTAATTGGAAATCGCGAATTTCAAACAATATTTTGAGATCTCAGAAAGCGTTGAATCTATGTGGGGACTAGAATTTCGAATGGCGCAGCACTATTCTAGAATTTCTGAAAAAAAATTTCAACACTGGAAATCCCTGTGCACTTTTTTACTTTCAAATGTTTCAACTAACTGAAATTCTAAAAAATGAATTCTGTATTATTTTGGCTATCACCTTATTTAGTTGTAATCCATGCTTCTGGTTTTTTTCTCTCTCTCTCTGTCAACATTGGTTGAATCACTTTCTCGTTCTCCTCTCGCACACACGCATTTTGGTGTACCACATTTACCATTTATGGGCAATTCAAAATTTTCAATCGCATGCCATATGTTTCAAAATCCAACGGTCGTCATGTGTCTGCGCGCGCTCGTGTGTGTCCGTCTTTAAGCGCGAGTGGCACCACACCGGTGTCAGTCACGGCAATTAGGGGCGCGGAGTTCGACGGAGCCAGTCGGACGAGACGCCACATAGTTGACTCAACTTGATAATCCGTCGCTTCGCATCTCTCTAGTTCAATTTCACCAGTGGACACTTTCACTGGTCGAAACTGATGAAGGGTCACTCGGTCACCATTTTTTGTTGTCAATGTGTGTGTGTGTCGGCTGTTTGAAAAAAGCGCCGCGCCGCGTCGCCGCCAGGCACTAGGCGCCCGCTGCGCTCCTCTATGACGCACTCCGCCGTTTTACGCACTGCCTCCGAGTCGCACAAAAAAAAAGAGATGCAAGCGACAACGACTGCAAGTGAGAGTCGGACTTGTGCGAACTGCTGCGGAGAACCGCGGCGGCGGCGGCGGCGGCTGCCTGCTGCTGCAGCTTGTGGTGTGTGGTTGTGGTGGGTGCTGTCACCGCCGCGCCACCCGGTGCGCCGCAGTTCTTTTTCGCGACAACGAAACACTCTCAACTCACTCACTCACTCTCTCTCGATTTCGCACACACGCGTTTCGCTTCGCTCTCACTAGCAGTCGTTGACACGGAAATGACCGATTGACCTCATTCGATAAAGCACAACGAAACATGGGAACCCAATGGATCGCCAGAATCGAACCCTGGGGGGTCTTGGAGCCGCGAAATTGCCAGAAAACCGGCGAATGATTGAGACGAGAGAAATGACCGACGAGAAGAGGAAGGGGGGGGGGAAGCCGAGGGACGATGCGCCACCACCAATTAAGTATGCGATGTAAATAGTCGAGCAATGTCTGCTCGAGAATGAACAAAACCAATTGCAAAAAATTGGGTAAGGGAAACGCTCTTGAAAATCCGAGATAGACACCAGAAATGTATCTGGCCAAGTTCAACCTCCTTATTCGGCAATGGTTTGATTTGTTCGCTGACCAACGAGTCAATGTTTTTCATTTTTCCCCCTTAATTCACACTACCGTAACCCGTTCACTGTTTCGCTGCAATCAAAAAAATGTACAACCAAATTGAGGTCAATGCAAAACAAATGGGTTTGAAAAGCGAATGGGAACGGATGTGAACGAGTGTTTTGCGAAAATTGACGGGGTTTTTTTTTTTTGATTTAAATCGCTCACCTTGATTGATGATTGCTTGCAAATACGGATTGTGCAAACTGCAAAGCGGACAATTCGGACGCATTTCCAGACGGGTTCGGATCGCTTCAAGAAGCTTCGTGTCTTTGGATCGAAGACGGATTCGGCTGCAACTCAACGCCGACATGATCAAGTTGTTGTACAAAGAGCAAGACGTCTGGAATCGGCAATGAGAGAAGACCGTTGAAAAACTCGACGTACCCCGTGCGAGACTTTGAGAATCAGACCGGCGATCGAATTGGCAATCGAGTCGGCCAGACGGGCAACTATTTGATGGCTGAGACTCTGAAATTGATCGATGTTGCACACAAGGCTCGCGTTGCTTGGCAATTAATTATACGTTGGAGGATAAGTTGATAACGAGCGCCGCCAGGTACTCGAACGCATAATTGCTGAGCTTCTGGTCGAAATGATTCACGGCCCATTCGAGAACGCCGCTTTGAAGAAGCTCCTTTTGACAAGAATTTCTGAAAATTTTCAAGAATAAGCAAGGGTCGTATCTCGTGTGATGAGATGAGAATATATTCAAATTGCAACTTTCAAATTTGATCATTTTAAAAATAAAATAATATTGATTTCTCGGGCACACAAAAAAATCAACCTGGTGCTCATTTTCTGAATACACGCAATCAGTTGATCATGCGTCGTTGATGGGATTCGTTTTCCGCGCAGAATTGCCACCAAACATGGCAAAAAGACTTTTTGGTGAGCTGCAAGAAGAAAAAAAAAGCATTGAAATCAAATCACATTTTATTATCGACGCGAACCTGCCAGATAATGCCGACCGTTCGGATAGCTGGCAATCGTGTTGACGAATCGAGCCATCTGCTCGCGAGAATCGACTCCATCCGCTTGGAGTACTCGACAGAATAGGCTCTGGAACAAAACGAATGAGTTCATCGAAATATGGGATGAAAAACTATATCAATTTTCCAATTTTCAGAAAATAAAATCCAAAAATAATCGAGGTTATTATCAATACTGAAATTATCCAATAAAATCATGATATTTCCTCTTCACATTTCAGAACCGAATTTCAACAAAACTGTAATCGCGCTTCTGAAAATACATTTGTCAGTGCAAACTATTATGATATTTTCGAGAATTATTTGCTCTTTCATTTCGTGAAAAACTATGAAACCCAATGAGTTCATTTCTCACGATTCCCAATTTATTGCGCACATTTTTTGGCTATAATTTAAAATAATAAAGTGTGTGAAAATGGACGATATTCGTCATTTTGAAATGATAAATATTGGGTGAAGATCTAAAAAAAGCGAAAAATGATGATAGAGACGTGCAAACTCGCAAAATAAATGCAAGAAGTTTGGAATCGTCGAGATTAAATTAGCTACATTCATTATATGAATGCACACATAATTATACAGGGTGTCATTTAAGTTCCCGCACAAAAGTTAGACGCCATGAAAAGCTTGGCTGTCGCACTTTTCGTGCACCAATACAATTTATTTTTGTTAAATAAGGTGTATTTTACTTACTTTCCAAGTTTCACCTCTTTCGGATGTGTTTCCGAGAAATGGCGAAGGCTAACATCCATCGCGCTTCCATTATCGAACTTCATAAGCGAAATGAGCGCCCGACAGAGATCATTCAACGCCTCGGTGTGCCTCGTAGAACGGTTTAAGACACAAACAAACGTTTCAAGGAGCTAAATACGACCAGTGACCTTCCCAGACAAGGAAGACTCGTCTCAGTAACCACTCCTCAGAAGTTCAACGCCGTCAAAACGAGGATCAGGCGAAAACCGCACAGGAGCATAAGAAAGATGGCGTCAGACATGGGAATGAGCATCTTCGCTATGGAACAAATCGTCAAATCAAAGCTTGTACTGACCCCATATCGTGTCCAAAAAGTGGCAATTCTATCGGCCGTCAACAAGCAGAGACGCTTCGAAAAAGCAAAACAACTTTTTGCTCGCACGCGGTCTGGAGAACACCTCGCCACTGTCTTCTCCGATGAGAAGCTGTTCACTGTGGAGGCGGCATTCAACTCACAAAACCATTGAGTACTTGCCCAGACATCCCAGCAAGCTTCAGAGAAAGGAATAACAATTTATCCAGCCTCACATCCTGCCAGTGTGATTGTTTTCGGTGCCATCTGCTCAACCGGGAAGTGCCCCTGGTTTTCGTGGATCAGGTGGTGAAAGTGAACAAAGAAGTCTACGTTCGGGACATTTTGGGGAAGCATATGATGCCCTGGGCCCAAACGCATTTCGGTGGGAAGATATGGGTCTTTCAACAGGACGGAGCACCCGCCCCTACTGCCAAAACTACTCAGGAGTGGTGCCAGACCCATTTTCCCGTCTTCATCAAGTCATCCGAATAGCCTGCTTGCTCCCCAGACCTGAACCCGCTTGACTTCTCCGTGATGGGGTCTTGCAGGAGAAGGTCAACGCAAAACCCCACTCAAGTGTAGAGGCTCTGAAGAAGACATTACTGGCGGAATGGGACAATCTTTCCATCGAATACCTGCGTACCACAGTCACATCCTACCCGAAGCGTCTCCGCGAAGTCATAGCTGCGAAAAGAGGCCGAATCGAAAAGAGTTAATAGATAATTATTTGTTGTACTATAGATAAAAAATATTTCGAGTCTCGTTTGATTTGGACTTTTAGTTTCAGAAATATACGTCTTCAAAGTTGTGCGGGAACTTAAATGACACCCTGTATGCTATTATTATTATCGCAAAAAAAAAGCGGCCATCCCGATTCCTAATTCCTTCTATTTAAATTCAAATTTGTAATCTCAAAAAGCAAAATGCCCGTTTTTCTTTGCATTTGAAAATTAGATATTCTCCTGTCAGTTGATTCTGCGAATTTTTTTTGTTTTCCATATATTTTCATTTTTCCTTCATTCTGCCTTTTGAATATTTCAACAGTCTCCATTTTTTAAAAGAACCACTGGTTACTAGGAGATTTGAACACAACAAGAAGATTTCTTTTTGAACTCCTTACATTTTTCTTCATTTTCAACATGAGAACATCATTATCGACAACCCATTTAAGGGCATCAGCGACATATTCATCAAGAGTTGCTACCGACATTTGCTGAAATTTTAATTTTCAAGAAGATGTCTAAAAATTGTTCATTACCTGTCGAAGGGCTTGAAGGATCAAAGCTGTTGAACGAGACGATGGATGTCCGATCATTAGCAATACCAGCTTCTTGTCGTCGATGTCTCGAAGAAGGCAATGCACATTGCTGGAAGAAAACAACAGCATATTGAACAATCTAACTACTTAAAAACATACAAATCATCTGATGAAGCTTTTGGATCCGGAGGAGGATCTTCTTCAGGCTCTTCGATCGTCTTGCCTCCTCAATGATTATCATTTTAATTAGGCTCAATTAAATAGAATATTTGAGAAGCGATACCGACTAAATTGGCAAAATGACTCAGAAAAAGAGGATACTGTAGGTTTTTAAAGGCACACAACAAGTTTTATGAATATTGGTCTCGTCACAGTCTCGAAAAAATGCGAGATAGAAGGGAAAAAGCGGTTTTTGACCACTACGCGGTTAATTTTTAAGATACCAACATATAAATTGGTCCATATAGGTAATTTTTCGTGCTGAACTCGATTTTAACATTGATTGCTCTCAAAATATCAAATTAATTTCGTGGCGCTCAAATTCGGGGTTGGCAACGCACTGTATAAACCTACTTTTTGTGCAAATATAGCCTCCAGTTGGCCGTCTCGGCGGTTTTCGAGTTCCCGGTGTCTTCATATTCTGCAAATCTCAACTACATTTGTATAAGTGGTGCCCATATGTATTTTGATTCGACAAAAAAAAAGTGTGAAACGCAAAAGACCAATTATGGAAGTGTTTTGGGCACATGGAAGAATGGGTTGGAAAAATGGAAAATGGAAAGAAGAATATTTAAGAGCAAACAAGCGGTTGCACAAAAAAAGTGGACAAATCATGTGGAAATAAAAATTGGTCAATGAGGTGCAAATATGAAGAAGAGGTTGTTGTTTCATTTTTTGCGAGTTGACAAACCAAAAATTCATTCAATCGAATTTATTTTAATCTAATTATCTTCCAACTCGTGCCAATTTTCTTGTTATTTGCACCAATCATTTTGAGCAATTGAATTATTGAAAAGTAATTAGGTTTCCGCCAGAATTTCTATTGTCAATGGATTTTTTAATTTTTTCCTTTTTCTTTTTTCTGCATTGAAATTTTGACAATTTTTTTCAATTTCTCTTCGATTTTTTTAATTTGTCAAAAATTGAGGAAAGGTGAAGAAAACATTCAATTCAGTTTTTTGCCATTTTTGTCTTCAAACATTTTCATTTGACTAAACTTCATTATTTCTTCAAATAGGATTACCTGCATTAGTTTTCATAAAATAAAAGAATACAAATGGCATGATTCATTTTATGCATAGTTTTTTTTGTAGTAGAAATAGAAAAACTGGAACAATTCTAAACAAATGTAGTTGTGAAAATAAAAGAAAATTCACTCAAGAATTATGATATGAAGAGGCAACATTATAATACTTCATTTTGGATCCAACCATTCAAATCACAAAATCCAATATGAATCTTGGTAGCGACGAATCATTGGCCGGACTAACTATATGAATAGAGGTAATGAAACAGAGAGCTAAGACTTACAAGGGAAGTCATTTTACCTCCGGTCTAGGAATTTTTTTGTAACTTTGTACACGTAAACTAGAAGGTCTTCTGAATATGTTCACAAAATTCCAGCCTACACTGGGGGCGAGTTATGGTCACACCCCTTCACTTCAAACTGGGGCCCCAAGAGTGTGTAACCTCTTGCCCAAATGGTTGCTGACAATGGATCACCTTGAATTTTCAGACGGCCATAACTCGCCTGTAACCCCCCAGTGCAGGCTGGAATTTTGTGAACACATTCAGAAGACCTTCTAGTTTACGTGTGCAAAGTTACAAAAAATTCCAAGACCGGAGGTAAAATGACTTCCCTTGTTAGGGTCATCAGGAATCTAGCCTTACATCGCTTATTTTCTTTATTGGAAACCATTTCGATTAGGAATTGAATGTAATTGAATGAATTTCGAAGAGTCGGTTCTCAAATCGCGTCACATTTAGAACATGAGCTATCACTACTTCTAAAAATGGAAAAAACCAATTAAAAACATGAAATTGATTATCAACAACTTATAATTATTTCCAATGAATGCTAATGTATTTAATTTTATCGGTAAACAACTCAGAGAATTTTCGAGTTGCTCGCCTCCTCCTGAGATGTGGGCTCTTCCCGTAGGTGAGCAAATTTGCAGAATTTCAGACGGAAAAATTTATAAATAGAAGCTTCTTCTTCTGCTACTATGCAGAATAGGCAATTTCTAACAGAATATTTTGAGTTTTGAATGGTTTGGAATATCGAAAAAGTCAGAAAATTTCAATGCAATGGAAAAATCGCGTGAATTGAAATAATGTCGCCGTGATTAATAATCCATCAGGAAATTGCCAAAAAAAATTCAAATTTGGGCCGGAGAAAAACGAACACGGAACCCCATACTGATGATCGTTCAACAAGTGCTCAATCGAGGCGCACATTTGTCATGGAAATGAGATTGGAACCAAATTAGAACGGACAGTGAAGTGTGAAATATTAACCCGGTTTGGCGCGCATTTTTCAACTCGTTCCCTCTATAACTTCGTCGTCGTCGTCGTCGGCCTCGTTTCTCTGGCGCTCTCTCGAATTCCGCTGCACTCTCGCCTCATTTCGGCTTGTTTCCTTTTGAAGCTGCGAGGTTTCCACGGCGACCAAACCGACTGGCACCCCCTTCTTCCCAATGGACGACCCCCCCCCCTTCTCCAACGGACCATGTTTGCGGCCAATTTCGAGGAATTTGAGCATGACAACGGTCATTTGAACTGTGTGCATCAACATTATTTTTGGTTGGAGAATGAACAAATGAAATTGAGGCACGTGATGAAAAGGGACTTGTCTGGAAATAATTCCAGCTGTTCAAGTCTGATAACTTCTCGAAACCCTATATTTAATGGAGGAAAGGGTAAAATGAGAACAGCGGATTCAAATTTAAAATAAAACTAAAAAAAATAAGTAATTTTAATGAATAATAATAGATTCATACAGTGAGCGTCCTTCTGTACGCGTGTAGATTTACGGCGTGCGTCTTTCGAAATGGTCTCGTCAAGGGTGTTTTTGATTTTTGAAATTTTCACGTGAACTGTTTTATTTTTCTAGATGAGTAGATCATTTCCTTGAATACTTAATATCCCTGAAATTAGCAATTCTCAAATCGACCCTCAAAATGCAAATAAAAACCAGTTAGTCCGTAAATCTACCGGTGTACAGCAGTCTTCGAACGCATACTATAAATTTTTCAGAATGTTGTCGCTTGAAAATTGAAATGTTTAAATTTATACCATAAAAGTCTAGTATCAACATTTGATGTAGGCTATTTAAAAGTGCCAAATTCAGAAATTTTTACAAACAAAATCATGATAGAGAGCCTGCGATTATTGTATAGAATAGGACCATTTTGAAAGGGAGTTGGTAAGGCTCAAAAAAAAGTGAAAGGTTTACAACGGGTTTGAGGTTTGATAATAATAGGTTGTGACAACAGCTCGCTACGTCAAGAGCCATTCGGTAGCGATTCAAAGAGCAAACAATTCGAATTTCGGTTTATTCTGAATGCACCAAAAAGTTGAGAAACAAATAATGAGGTCCGACCGACCAATGATAATTCGAAAAACCATGCATAGTTGAAGACTTTCATGACTTTGTTGAACCATTCGAAATAATAAAGAAGGTCCGGTTTTTTATTAACAAATAGTTTATTGTTGAATTATGTAGAAATCAGAAGGAGAGAGAAATAACAAGAGAATAAGAATAAAAATGGAATTGAGTGAAAAATTGGGAAATCATACATTAATAGCAACCATATGTGTTAAATTGTATATCATTCAAATTCATAGTAATTAATATTAACTATAATTATTTCAAATTGAATTTATAATAATAAAATGAAGGTATAGTTAATTTTTGAGAAACAACAAACCAAATCATAGCTCAATATATCAAAATTAGATATTCCTAATTTTCAAGATTGCTTGAATTAAAAAAAAGTCTACGAATCTATTTTTGAAGTATTCGATCAATAATTTTCCAAAAGAAAATGTATTTCTGGCGATGAGAATTTACGCTACATAGGAATTTTATAAACAGAAATATTCGATTGAATAGCTAATAACTTCTGAATTATGTATCAAACGTATGACTTCAAATGAATGATTACGCTAAAAATCATAATATTTGAATTGTTTACGGCCGAAATGTTAATTAATCAGCGTGTTTTTCGGTATTTTCTCGGAAAACATTCATTATTTTCTAAACCTTTTCTTAGAATTTTTTTATAGTGTTTTGAAAATAATTTTGAAAGGGCGAATTCAAACTATTTTTGGGGGTCCAAAGAAATTCAAACCATTTTTGGTGGTCCAATTTTTGGGGGTATCGAGTGGATAAGAAAAGCTCGTTTTTTTTTTTTGGATTTATGACCTAAATTCGTGAATACGTAATATTTAGTCCATTTTCAAAAAAAGAATAGAGAAAGTTGATATAAATATATTTTCTCAAATATTTCTGAGAGAAAAACGGCTTATTGAAAAAATTCGGAAAAATCATTATTTGATGCAATCTCGAGCTAAAATTCACAAAAAAATCTATTAAAAATAGAAAATTTAAAAAAAAAAACGATAACCAGAAATTAAATAAGTGGCGTAAAAACGTCAAGAATTCGTCGATAATTCAAAACCGATCGAAACCGATAAAATTCGGCGCCGAAAACGGACCGATTTTTGTCGGATTCGATTCATTTTGAGTTTCAACAGAGTTCTGTTGGAAGATTCATCGAAAATTTTTACAGATAGCTTTTTTTCAAAGTCTAAAAATAAATTAATTACGAAGATATGATGACAATTTATGGGGAAAAATACTAACTAGTGAATCGAAATATTTCAGCGAGGTCAGACGGAATTCAAGAGAAACGATTAATAAGGAAATGGATCTCAAAATGAAAAGATCAAATATGTTTGAATCTCGAAATGCCAGTAGCCATGACGGCAAGGCTTGATAATAAATAAACCGCTTTTGGCCGAGAAATCGAAAATCATGCGAAGAAGTGCTCATCAGTATGCATATCATATTTTCAAATGCATTCTTTTCTTCCGCTTTTTTTTTTCTCGCGTATATGCACATCGAACAAAAGAAGACGCAAATTTTTTATTCAGTGAAACAAAATACAGGGGGGGGATGGGGGAAAAAGAAAAGCTCGTCGTTCACTAACCACACATATAAAATAAAATAAAAAGAAAAAAATACGCATCGAATTTTATAAATTAAAACGAGAAGGTGGAAATTGGAAGAAAAACGAAATGCTAGAAATGCAAAAAAATCACACACAAACAATTTTTGCCAATAATCAGAAAGCTATCACAATTGAATTGAAAGGGAGAGAATCGGGGAAAACGTTTTTTTATGGTTCGAACGTGAAAAGACGGTGTTAAGAATTGAAATTGAAGAAGATCAGATGGAAGAAATATGCTCTAGTGCAAAAGCAAGACAGTACATGTAACAGGAAAACCGCACAAACAATACATTTTTGCATTTGTTCTACAATTGAAAAAAATGAAACAAATCGGGAAAACATGGTTCATCACAGGGGTCGGAGATGGTCTCAGTCAAAAGTCACTTTATACATATTATGGTGGAATGGGCGTGGCTTGGAGTTTTTGACAGGTTTTGGTTACGGTATGCTTATATGAATGAAAAGTACGAATGGAGTTTTAAAGCTTTTATGGGGGCAAACCGGGATTTAGTTACTAGTACCGTAACCGTTTGATGGTCAAGCTGGTCAAAAACTGGAACGACGACGACTTGACGCCTTATCATTTCATCCCCATTTAAGGAATGAGGTTGGCAAGTAGGCGGAGATTCGCGCAGACAATGTCACCGGCTCTTCGGAGACCGTCTCGCGAACCGTCGTCGGCTCGGACTGAGATTCTCCGGCGCACCGTCAACTCGAGTTGCCGGATTCCTGGAATATTCAACATTTCGATCAAAGATTTAAATATGCTAGCTATCATTCAAATAATCCCCAACGACTTACCGTTTCTTCTCCGATTTCTAGAATCTCCGGATGCTTCTCGATAACACGCATCAATATTCCATTGATGTAAACACGAAGCTTCTGATTGCAAATCTCCTGCTCTCTCAAAGCATCGAGCAATTGCGACGAGTCGCCACCAGCAAGCTCATCAGCCAGCGAAGGCGTGTCGGCGATCAGCGATCTTCCATGCTCGACAGAAGTAGCGAGTAGTTGGTCGCTCATTTCCTCTTTCTCCTTGGTGAGCTCAGCAACCTTTGCTCGGAGTGCCACCAGCTCCTCTTCCATATCAACCATTTGCTCAGCAATACTACCATGCCGCGGTCCGACCTTCTTCCTCAACTCCTCGGTCTCTTGTGTGAGAACTTCGACCATTTCACTGCTTGAATCAATATCCTGCTGTGCTTCCTCTTTGTACTTTTTGAACTGACGTTCCAATTTGATTCGTTCTTCTTCCATTCCTTCAATCAACAATTGCGACTCCTCCAGTTGATGGGTCGTTTTTTCAAGTTCAGTTTGAACTTTTTTCGTTTCCTCGTTTGCTCGTTCGACGTCACGTCGCGCCGATTGAAGATCTTTTTCAAGCATCTACAAAAAATCAATTCGAAATAAAAATTAAAGTTTAAAAAATTGTATATTTATTTCGAAAAAAAAAACACTTTTCAGCAAGTTTTGAAAATAATTCGCAATTGATTAAAATAATAATAATTACCTGATATTTGAGGGTCCAACTCTCAGTTTCCAATTCTTTTTCGCGCTTCAAGCGATTCATTAGCTCTGCGGATCGTGTTTTCTCATCATGGAGAAGTTCCTTATATCTGAAAATGATTTATTTAGTTGCTGACGAATAATTTTAAATTTAATCACTTTTAAAAATCATTCTTTGGAAAACTAAAAACATTCCTTGGAAAATTTAAAAAAAAAATTGTAAAAAATTTTCCGTGAAATATTACTCTGAAAAAATTATTTTTTAATTATCCTAAATCTGAATAACGACAGCAAAAAACTACGGAAAAAGGATGGTTTAGAGTGAACACAAAAAAAAAGAAATTTATGGAAAATATCCGCAAATTACATCTCGGTGTTTGCGGACAACACTTTACGGTATTTCCTTATTTTTTAATACTATTTCTGACCTGTCCTCTTTTTCAGAGATCTGCTCCTCAAGTGTGTGTATCCTATCCTTGAGGATCGCATTTTCGGTTTTGAGTCTTGCTCGCTCATCGGACATCGACATATTACGCTCCTCGAGCTCCGACAGCCGTTTCGTGAACGATGTCAACTGATTCATCTGACTGTTGAACTCGTTCAGATTATCCGGATCGTTATTGAACGCGATCAGATCGGATTCCGACGAGCTTCCGCCGAGACTGTCGCGTCGAGACCGTGTACCGTAGAGGCGAGAAGCTACCGATGCACTGCTCGCTGATGAGCCTTGTAATCGCATCGGCGAGTCCTGCAACGCAACATTTTCATATTTGGTAGAAAACGACGAAGGTGAATGAATATTTCATGTTCGCTCTCAAACAAACAATATATGTCGAGGCAAAAGTGCAAATGTGAGCAAACAATATTTCAACGAATTGTTTTTATATTCGATTGTCGAGTTCCTAATTAAACATCATCGTTCGGTGTAAAATACGTGCGCAAATATTAAAGTCTTTTAAAGACGCTAAATATTTCCAGAAAACACGCGTAATGTGATTTCGTTTCGAGAAATATCAAACTATTATTAGTAATACACTGTTGGCCAAAAATTTTGCCGCAAATGGAAATAAATAATAACGAAGAAATGTTGAATGAAAAAAAGGTCTTTGAATGAAAGTATGAAGAAGCAAGGAAGATGAAAAAAACAGCAAGGTGTGACTCATTTGAGTCGTCATTTTGTTTGTTGTTCTTTTCTGTGCAAAAAATTGAAAGTCAAACACAAAACACGTGGGGCCGCCTTCAAAAAGAAAATCAATAAAATGTTGATTTTGATTCCTCAGGGTTGATTGTCAAATGGATTGCGATTGTCTGAGGAAGAGGAAGCGTGATAGACGGTGGAAGAACAAAATTAATTTGCATTAGAAAACTAGACATTTTGTGAAGAATGCCCGCCTCCAACTTTTTTCGGCCCACTTTCGAACAGCGGCCATAACAAGTGGATGTGTTGTTCAAGGACATGATTTATGTCGAATTGAATGAAATGTGAATGCATCTCTCTCTCTCTTTCGCACCCACACACCCACACAAATTCGGTGTGTAGGCAAAAGCAGCGAAAATCCGAGAAAATAAGTTGATAAGCGTATCAAATTAAGGATGAACGAAAAAGAATGTGGGTTTGGAGCGATCTCGTCGAGATCGATTCAAACCGATCAGTCGACGCCGACAGGTGCTCAAACTTTGAATCGCGCGATTGTTGGACTAGATGGATTATTTGAGGCCGGATTAAATTTGAACATTATATTATTATTATTAATCATAATCGAGAGAGTTCTAGACAGATATAGACAACAATTTATTGAATCGATCTTTCCGAAAAAGGCTCACATCTCTCACAAATTTCTCACTCTCATAGATCTCACACAGATCTTGGTTTTGAAAGCGTTTTTTCTACATATTTGAGAATTGAAAGCGAAATTATATACTTCAATATGGGCCAAGTGTATTTCTGCGAGTTTATGCTTTTTGTTGGTGTGCACATAAATTGGCACATTCAAAGGAATTGGAGCATGCGACATGGCTCAAAAGAGATTTGATCTACTAGGTATAAAATTGTTATTTTGTTTGAAAGCTTCTCTTTGCCTTTGTTATAGCCAAAAACGGATGAATTTGAGGTGTGATCACTGTAGAATTTGAATTGGGTCTCGTATGGAAAAATCTCGTTGATTATAAAAGAGCATGATTTTTCATCAATCTTGAATTAATTGGTATTTTAGCAAAAATGACGGATAACCAATTAATTGGCAGCGCGTGTAATTCAAATTTTTAATTAATGCACATAGAAAAATTACATGTAAAAAATGGGAAATGTGTCAAAATTTCGTAATATTTCGGTGCGAACTTACATCTATAAGGTTGAATGGCATGTGCCGCCGAATGTCGACGAGAAATGCCCGACTCGGCGGCTCTTTCTCTCTCGTGCTCATGCGCCGCGTCGCCATGGCGACACTCCGCCATTCGCCCACACTACTTTTTTTTGCCACTTTTTGAATCATCAGCTGACGTCAGACCATATTAAAAGCTTCATAATATATTTGTTATTCTGATTCGCAAATGACGAAGAAGGCGATTTTCTTTTTTTTTGGAAATTTTAAGATATTTCAATTTTTGCTCAAAACTGAATCTAAGCCATGACTACCATGATATACAGTGCGTTGCAGAATTATAAGGCCACCCCCAAATTTGAGCGCCGCGCAATGATTTCGATACTTTGAGACCAACAAGTGTTAAAATCGTGTTTAGCATGAAAAATTACCTATATGTACCAATTTTTATGTTAGTATCTTCAAAAGTAACCGCGCTGTGGTCTAAAACCGTTTTTTCAAGCGGTGCAGAATTATAAAGCCACCCCCATGAAACGAACTTTTTCGCTTTTTTTTTTGAAACTTTGGCGGGACCAGTGTGCATAAAAATTGTTGTGTGGCTTTGAGAACCTACAGTGGTCCTTATTCGTCTCTTTTTAAATCATTTTGAAATGCCACGAGGTCGCTGTCTTAGTGCTTCTGAGCAATCTCAGATTCTCGCATTCAAAACGGCAGGATGGTCGAACCGTTGGGTTGCGAAGAGATTAAATGGTCCGAAAACATTCGTAGACATCTTTGTGAAGGATCTAACTCGTGTCAACATGTCGCAAAAGGCAGGCGCCAGAGGAAAACTGGACTATCGCGCTAAACGAGCACTGATTCGAGCAGCTTCCAGCAGTATGAAGTCTACAAATGGCATCAAGAAGAAGCTAAACTTTGACAAAAGCAAGTGGACAGTTTGGGGAACCATCAAGAATAACCCCAACATCGCTAGAGAAAAAATGAAGCCGGCCCCGCGACTCACAGAGGATTATAAAATTCGACGCCTTGAGTTCGCATTCAAAAACATGAATACGGATTGGAACAATGTGCTTATATTCGAGAATATTGTGAATAATAGCCATTCAAATTTCAACAGGTTATTTTTTCCGATGAAAAAACAATTAATTTGGATGGCCCAGACGGCCATAACAGTTGCTGGACCGAGTTATGAAAGAATCTCCTCCTGCTTTCAAAACGCAATTTTGGAGGAGGAAGCGTGATAGTATTTGGAAGCGTTTTCGGCAGCCTGGTTTCTGCAAATGGCTTTTCTGACGAGTAAGGTGGACTCTTCGGACTATCAAAATGACCCTGAGAGCCATCTTCTTCCATTCCGACGTCACTATTGTCCTTTTTCAACAGAAAAATGCGGTCATTCATGTGAGTCGGTCTACTTTGGACTGGCTTCAGTCTCACAATGTAGACGTTCTCGACTGGCCATCATGTTCTCCTTTTTGGAGTCCCATGTAGAACGTCTGGGGAGAGTTAGTACGGCGTCTCTATGGCCAAGGAAGGAATTTCGGGGAGTTGGAGAGCTCAAAACCGAAATCGTAGTCGAGTGAAAGACGTTAGAGCAGCAATTCAAATCTAAATCGACCTAATATGTTTCAAACCTTCTCAAATCTATGCCAGACTGTGTTTTCGATGTTATAACCTCGAATGGAGGTGCCATCATACATTAGACTGTTGTTATCTTTGAATTTATAACGCATTTCATGGGGGGTGGCTTTATAATTCTGCACCGCTCGAAAAACGGTTTTGGACCACAGCGCGGTTACTTTTTGAAATACCAACATGAAATTTGAGACATATAGGTTATTTTTCATGCTGAACACGATTTTAGCACTGGTTGGTCTCAAAGTATCGAAATCATTTCGCGTCGCTCAAATTTGGGGGTGGCCTTATAATTCTGCAACGCACTGTAAACTCTTTTTTTTGCCGGAATTGACCTTAGAAATTCAATAAATAATTCATGAGTGCACACGGAATTCCTGAGAACATTGAAAATTGAAACTTTTGCAATATTCCTACCTCATATAGCTGTATCATCTAGTAGTGGTTGTCGAAAGCGTCGGGTGTGTATTAAAACACTAATATGGTTGGTGGGTGTTCGGAATGCGCGAAAACTCTCTACGATATCGAATAGGGGGGGGGCGCCTCAGGACCGGAATGTGTGGCCGTCGATGGCCGCGTGTGACGTCCGGAATGTTTGTTTTCGGCGACGCTGCGTTTTTTTCCGGAAGAACTACAACAACGAAAGCGCGCGCGAGACCGCTGCCTATCCGAGCCCAAATATGACGAGCCGACAGACAGAAGCGCCAAACCAAAAAAAAAATATACGGCAAACAACAATGGATGGCGAACGGATAAAAAACAGACTTGGCGGATATTGGCGGAACGCAAAACAAATACAATTATTGCTTATCAAACACCAACCAGGAGCTACAAACAATAATTGAGAGGCGATTGGATGAAACGCGATTGTCTACTCATGAGATTCCATATGAAATCAGGGTCCGATTGGCTACGAGCTTTAAGAAGCGCTTGCTGGTTGTTTCGATGGAAAATTGAAAAATTATATAGCATCAAGGATTCTTCGATAAGTCGATTTCTTATTCAAAATTCGTAGTGAACATCTAACGTGGGTAGATTTACGGAGTGCGTCTTTCGAAATGGTCTCGCCACGTGTGAATCTTTATTGTTCAATTTTCACGTGAATTCTTTGGATTTTCTTGATTTCCTTGAATTTCTAACGTCAATTAAATTAACAATTATGAAAGAAACACCAAAAATTCAAAATAACTTATTATTTTGCACCCCGTAAATCTACCCGCGTATAGCCGTCGTCGGACGCCGACAATACCGAAATGGACGAGAATTGTCTGTTGTCTATCGAGTAGATTTACGTGGATGATGTTCAGCGAAAAATAGTATGAATAATTAAAATTTAAAAATATTTCCTCTCGATATTTTATAGATGACAAAAATATCTGTTCGCCACGGGATATAGTCACCTCCTTTAATTTAATTTGCTGTTTCAAAAAAGCCACATATAATACGCCTTTCTTTTTCTAGAATGAATCAATTTCAAAACAATTCCCTAGTAGCAAATCTAAAAAAAATTGTGTGTAATTTGTCCACAAGAAATATTTGATGGCTTGTGAGTTTAAGGGAATTTTGTGCGCATTTTTTCACGGAAAAATTTTTAAAAATTAAATTTTAATTAAATTGTGAGCAAAGAGCGTTCAATTAATAAGAATTGCATTTTTCTCAGTCACATCTGCCGACATTTTTTTTGGTTTATTTAAAAGTGAAAAATTGAATAATTTTTGCAAAAGATACGTGAAAAAGTCGAAGTTGGAAGAATTGATTAAAACGCATAAAAAGCGAGCGAAAATTGAAATGACGCATTCAGAAACATTTCTGAAGAAAATGATTGTGAGAAACTTGAAAAAAAAAAACGCATTCTGAAAACACCAAATTTGGTGTGTGATATTTCAGAATTAAAGAATGTTCTACGAGATTGTTAACTGCCGAATAGGTAGCCGCACATAATAATCATACAGTTTCCAAAACTGGCAAAACGATTTGAGAACGACGAACAACGACGTGCGATACATTCATTGTTGGAGTACCGAGACCGCTTTAAGCAAACTTGGACTCGCGATTCATTGAAATAGTGCGCAGATTGCAGAGTGTCATGATACCTCTGATGAGTCAGGTAGAAACAAGTGTTTGTGTGGGGCTGGAGGAGGAGGAGAAGGACGACGGGATTCACTTGTTTCGTCTTCATCAAATCTCAAACAAAAATAAGTAAGTTATCGCTAAACTGGACCCGATCGACAACAGTTGTTTGCTATTAACATCAAGAGTTTGGGAGGTCCGCAAAAGTAATGGACCAATTCTGCGAATTGGAAAAATGCCAGATTTCGTTTTTTTTTTTAAATTTAGTTTTCTAGAATTGTTTTTGTTTTTAAGATTTAAAAAACGCCCATCTAGCTCGCTAGGAATGATTGACTTACCTCATAATCTGTTGATTCGATATTTGAATCGCCAGGCGGCTCAGAATGCTCAACAATATTAATAGTTGATGGCATTGTCAATCAACGCAACAACCGCAATCGATAACAAAACCGGCGGTTTTCTCATTCAGCTTATCATATTCGCTTCGCCATTTCATGCCTCGCTTCCACGCCTCATTCTTACACAGCTCATCTCGGCGTTCTCCGCGCCTCACACCATCTCTACACATATTTATATTCGTTATCAGAATTGCGCGAATTCGATCGGCAAACAGTTTTTAGCAGGAACCGTTGAAGCCTCGCAAGCGTGTGTCGAAATCGGATTGTTTGTGTTTCACATTGAAACACCATCGATAACAACAAAAAAACGCAGCTATATGAAAATGATGAAATTGCGCTACCGGTTTTCAGCCATTTTTGTTCGTTTATTGAAGTACTTGCGAATCATCAAGAAACCCCCCCCCCAACAAAAAGGAAGTTGATACTGCGAATTTTTCGTGCTCTATTGTATGAATCGCGAGGCGGGATTTTTAGGAAGTAGCCTTACATTGTGGAGTACACAACCGCATCTCTTCGCCTCATGACCATTACAACATTGCATTCAATGGTTTGTAATGGTAGATCAAAAAATGTAAAATTTCATTATTGGGGAAAAACGTTTTGGTTTGAGATATCAGTTTTGGGACCCCCCATAGAACACCCCAACATCAAAAGCAATCATCGCTGAGGTTCACTAATACAATAATGTGATGTCAAATTCAAATTAGGAAATTTAAATAAAAACCTAAAACCCTATAATAATTGCTATAGAAATGAGAACATTGAAATTTGATATGCGACATGGAGTGACAAGCTTGTACATCGCAAAGATTGACGAGAAGGATCAAATTCATGTTCGGCGATGTGGAACGAATTAGTTTCGGCTTTATCCTATTGTTTAAAAGCGCTTCTCATCTATGTTGATATTTTGTGAAGCGAAAGAGTAAAGTGAGCGGAAGTGGCTCAGACATAAAAAAATCAGAATCTCGAGAAGCAAAAAACTACTTGAAAATCGTGAAAACG